TATATATATGTATGTGAGTATGAGAGAACACGGGGTCAGGAAGGCTGCTTTATATGTATGAAGGAATATACGTGCGTGTGTGTGTGTGTGTGTATATATGTACAAACAGATCTACAGAAAGAGAAGAGTCAGAAAGAGAGCGAGAGAGCGAGAGCGAGACTTGCTGTCTCACGCTCGTGCGAGTGCGTGCTTTGACGGATCTTATGAGCCTAATGCGTGCTCTAAAGTGAGCGATTCCAACTTACTACTCAATATGCCAATCACCTGAACCTGCCCACAGCCAATAGCCCTAAACCCTAGCCATAAACTGCCCGAACATACCCTAGAACCTTAAAACGTGAACCTTAAACCTGAACCCAAAAACCTAACACACTAACCCCTAAACTCCAAAACCCGAAAAACTAAGCCCTGAACCCGAAACCCGGAACCCTGAAACCCTAAACCCTCTACCCTAAACCCATAGACCGGCCTGCTCCCAGGCGCAAGTCAGCGCCTCGTCACCATGGAGCCCAGAACAGGGCGCGGCGGCAACGGCAGGCGCCGCCTTGGGTTTAGGGTTTAGGGTTTAGGGTTTATTTGGGGTTTAGGGTTTCGGGTTTCGGGTTTCGGGTTTCGGGTTTAGGGTTTAGGGTTTAGGGTTTAGGGTTTAGGGTTTAGGGTTTAGGGTTTAGGGTTTAGGGTTTAGGGCTCAGATTTCAAGGTTTAGGGTTTAGGGCTCAGATTTCAAGGTTTGAGTTTGGGGTTTGGGGCGACTCGGAGCGCTAGAGGCGCCTGAGAAATAGAGAAGCCTGCTGGAGGAGAATGGGTATGTTGAACAGTTTGCGGGGTTTGGGGTTAAGGGGTTTAGGGGTGTCGGGTTTAGGGTTTAGGGTTTAGGGTTGAACAGTTTGCGGGGTTTGGGGTTTTGGGTTTGAGGGTTTAGGGGGTAGGGTTGTAGGGGTTTTAGCATTAAGGCGGGGTATGTTGGACAGTTTATACTGAAAGTTAGTAGGGGTTCTAATTATGGGGATAGTATTGATAATGGTCTGCAGGCACCCCGGTGGCCACATTACCAGTAAGGAGGGCTTGAGGTGCGGGGTAGTAGCCAGAAACCCCAAAGACATGCCACTAGCGGCCGAGCTTCCTTCGGGACTACATCTCAGAACAGTAAACCCTAAACCCTAAACCCCAAACCCCACAAAATGTTAAACCCTAAGCCCTAAAACCTAAACCTCAGGACTCTTTGTTCAGGCCTCGAAGGGATTTTGATTCAAAGTTACCGCCCTTATTTCGGACCACGGCCCCCGCCACCGTGAACCCCATGTGAGCCGAAGCACCAGGGCGAGGATCAGGGGCACCAGGGCCATGTCCCTTCAGAGGCGTTGCATGTCCAGGCTCCAGGGGGCGTCTGTAAAGCTTGAGCCAACAATGTATATGGGGTTTAGGGTTGAGGGTTGAGGGTTCAGGGTTTAGGGTTTAGGGTTTAGGGTTGAGGGTTTAGGGTTGAGGGTTGAGGGTTTAGGGTTTAGGGCTTAGGGGTTTGGTGTTTATAGGGTATGTATAGATTTTTATCGGGCTTCTATTGGGTCTTATAGGGTTGTTTATCGCTTTTAGAGGGCTTTGATAGGGTGTTTAAAGGGTGTATGGGGTTTGGACTTCAAAGCCCGCGTCAACAAACATCCCAGGGCGAATGCCAAGGCCTAGACACCCTCCTAGACATACTTACAAACTCTGGGAGTCAAAACCCTGAAAACCTGAAATCCTGAAATCCCCGCTATAGACCCTAAACCCCAAACCCTAAACCCTAACCCTAAACCCTCACCCTAAACCCTGGATCCATGGCCCTCGACACTTCAGAAACGGGCCACCGGCACATCAAGCCTTTTTAGAACCTACGCACCCGGAAACTACGCCCCCCCCCCCCCCTTCCGTAAGACCCTAAAGACACCAAACACCCTAAAGGCCCTAAACGCCCTAAACGCCCTAAACAGCCTAAACACCCCAAACACCCTAAACACCCTAAACACCCTAAACACCCTAAACACCCTAAAGACCCCTAAAGACCCCTAAAGACCCTAAAGACACTAAAGACCCCCAAAGACCCTAGAGGCCCTAAAGACCCTGAAATGCCCTAAATACCCCAAACCCTGAGACTCCTCGCAATTCGGAAGTGCTGTTTCGCGCCTCCGCACGCTCGTTTTGAAGGGGCCCGAGGCTCCCCATGTCTCACCGGAAAACTCGGATGCGGGAATGGCCCGCACACCGGTGCCAAGCAGGCTCCGTGCCTCCTCTGAACTCGGGGGGGTCATACAAAAGCTGAAGAGCTTCGGGCTCAGGCTTCTGCATGTGAATATGTTCTCAACCTTGCTCAGGCTTCTGCATCCCAGCTAGGCCCCGGAATCTGACATGCCCTATGCCACAGAAGAGTGTGCCAGGAGGGGCCCCCCCCCCTAGAAGGAATCCAACACCAGTCACTTGAGTTCCTGACAATCTTGGTAGCCCTAGGGTTTAGGGTTTAGGGTTTAGGGTTTAGGGTTTAGGGTTTAGGGTTTAGGGTTTAGGGTTTAGGGTTTAGGGTTTAGGGTTTAGGGTTTAGGGTTTAGGGTTTAGGGTTTAGGGTTTAGGGTTTAGGGTTTAGGGTTTAGGGTTTAGGGTTTAGGCTTTTTGGGGTTGGTTACTTCATAGGGAAACCTTGAACCCAAAACAGCGCATCACTGGGCCACCAAGTAGTGCAAAGGATACACCCCTTCCTTCGGAGGTCTCGTAGGAGTGCCTTGGACTTTAAAAGGCAAACAAGCGAAGCCCCATGCTGGTACGCACGTCGGTAACCTTGCATACTCTCTTAAGTCCTAAAAAACCCTGAAATCCACAACACTTAAACCTCTCCAAGCCATTAGGAAACTCAGCCCCTAAGCCCGCAAAGCCTACACGCCAAACCTTCAACTCTAAAACCCCCAAACCCTGAACTACAACCCTAACCTTCAAACCCTAAACCTTAAACCCTTCACCCTTCACCCTTCACCCTTCACCCTTCACCCTTCACCCTTCACCCTTCACCCTTCACCCTTCACTTGCTGCGGTGCTTAGCATGAGACTCAGCTCCCAATGTTTGCGGAAAGGCCAACCGCCCAGCTGTGCTGAGCCACCGGTGCCAAGACACTTGGGAGGGTTTAGGGTTTAGGGTTTAGGGTGCTGGGTTTAGGGTTTATCCCTTTTGCAGGGTTGCGATAAGGATTTCGTAGTTTGGGGTGTATAGGGACCCCCTTTGGGGGGAAAACCTACACAACCCACAGGCTCTCATTGGAAGGGGTTTAGGAGACCGCTTTCGTAGCGAAACATAGAAGGTATACATATGGTCCCTTCTCTAAATTGTGGTCGCTTGTGGGGACTACTAGTATAAGGCGGCCCCCTGAAATTTAGGGAACCGAACACGGGACCATAATTTTGAGAGCTGACCATCTAAATGCAGATGCCACATAATCCACCCCAGAAACTACCCATGAACCGCGGGGGCTCGCTGGGGCATCTTCCTCTATCAGTTCCCGAACTATTTCGTCTTCACCGATTTAGAGTTTTTTTGGAATGTTTTAGGGTTCTTAGGGTTTGAGTATTTTTGAGTTCTTTGTGAGTTTTTAAGGTCTCAATAGAGCATCAGGTTCAAAAGAGGTCTTGCGGGAGCTCGCTGAGCCCCCTCGCACCAGCAGCACACTCAAAACTTTCACTTCAAGCAAAGCACCACCCGTGGGCCATCAGGGGCGCTTCAAGGTACTTCAGGCTTCAGGGTTGGAAGTTTCTGGAGCATCAAGGCTTAGGGGTTTTGGGGGGGTTTAGGGGGTTTGGGGGGTTTAGGGGGTTTAGGGGGTTGAGGGGGGGTTTAGGGGTTGGGGTGTTGGGGGCTTCGGGCTTAGGGGAATTTGGGCTTGAACTCAGTGGCTTCTGGATGTTGAAGGCTTCCGCTAAACCCTAAACCATAAACCCGAATATCGGGACCCTTTGGTTTCTAGGGATGATGCTTGGGGACTCAGCAACCCAGGGTCTGGAGGGCTTGGGGATAGCAACGCATCATCGATCGCGGAACGAGTGTGAAAACCCTAAACCCTAAACCCTCCTGTCTTTGCCATCCCTTTTCTTGGGGGAAACCCTCCAAACCATAAACCCGAAACCATAAACCCTAAACCCTAAACTTCGCCGTAAACACCCTAACCCCCAAACTCTAGTGGCTCACGGGAAGCGCACAAACTCTCCTCACTGCAAAGTGTGCCCCTCATTGGTCTCAGCCTGCGCAGATTTTGCGTTAGGCTTTGCTTAGGGGCTTACCCTAAACCCTAGAAACCCTGATCCTAAACCCTAAACCCTCAACCCCAAACCCTCAACCCTAAACCCTTTAAACCGAAACCCTCAACCCTAAACCCTAAGGGATTTCGGAGCTTAGAAAGGGGGCTTAGTACCCCAACCCTAACCCCTAAACCCTAAACCCTAGCAGGGATTACGGTTTAAGGGCTTCGGGGAATCGTTTGGGCTCAGGGACCTGGTTGTGACTTCCAAGCTTTGGAGAGTGCTTGGGGTCATGTTCTTGTGGGCTGCAAGATGAAGACGGCCCATAAACTCCAAAAGCCCTCAACACGAACCCCCAAAACCCCAAACCCCAAAACCCCAAAACCCCTAAAACCCCTAAAACCCCTACAACCCCAAAACCCCAAAACCCCAAAACCCCAAAACCCCAAAACCCCAAAACCCCACAACCCCACAACCCCACAACCCCACAACCCCACAACCCCACAACCCCAAAATCCCAAAACCCCAAAACCCCAAAACCCCAAAACCCCAAAACCTTGGGATGTTCCCCCTTATACACACAGTCTTAATGATTTTTGTACCCCCTATGATAAAATGCCTATGGAGGAGAGTTAGTATAAGATAAAACATCCCAAGCTAAACCCCTAAACCCCTCAACCCCTAATTAAACCCTAAACCCTTAAACCCCAATTCCCAAACCCAACCCCCCTCCCTCCCAGCGGACCTCACAGGGCCGCCTGTCCCAGGAAGCCGTGGCCGTTGTTGATGGCGGCGAAGTAGGCAGCGAAGACCAGGGACACGATGGCCTTGCAGGAAACGAGATATAGACCCTAAATCCGACTAAGCCCTATAAGCCTAATGAACCCTAAACCCTCATCAATCCTAAACGCCTAGAAACCCTCAAGGCTTTGGTTCGGTTCATATGGCCTCGTCGGCAGGAAACGATGTTCGTCTTCAAAGCCCGAAAATCTTACAGGCCTAAGCGCTGCAACTAGCTGCTCGATGCTCCTTCCAAGATCGTCAGGGCAACCTCAAGACATCATGTACCTAGTTTGCAAAACCTGAAACCCTAAATTCTAAAACGGAAAAGCCAGTCGCCCCGAATCTTGCGCCACAGTTGTCTCCCTGCCTGCAGCTTCATGACGATGTTCAGTGCCGGTCCGGAGGTGTCCTTGCCGAGAGAATGCGTGTGGAGTACTAGACCCAAGAGTAACCCCCAAGAACTAAAGGGCACCCTTCTTAAGGGAACTAAGCCCTGAACAAAGGGAACAAGGGCATCCTCTGGGTCCTAGAATATGTAGAAAGCTGTTTAAACTTTTTCGGGTCCCTCACAGCGAGGCCCTGGGAGCTGAGGAGGGCCAGACGTTCCCTAAGCCCTAAGCCCGCACACCCTTTGAGTTCCCCAAACCAAAACCCTAAACGCTAAACCCTCATACGGCCTAGAAGCCCTAAGCCCTAAACCCTAAACCCTAAACCCTAAACCCTGAACCCTAAACCCTAAACCCTAAACCCAAGCGTACGCAGTAGGGTTTCGAGTTGACTTGGCCCACCTTGAAGGGATCCCCGACGGTGTCGCCCTGCACAGCCGCGTCATGGGCCTCCTTGGCCTGGTTTAGGGTTTAGGGTTGTTTAGGGTTTAGGGTTTAGGGTTTAGGGCTTTAGGGTTTAGGGTTTAGGGTTTAGGGTTTAGGGTTTAGGGTTTAGGGTTTAGGGTTTAGGGTTTAGGGTTTAGGGTTTAGGGTTTTAGGGTTTTAGGGCTTCTGGGCCTTCTTGCTCAGGGAGGCTTGAAGGTTTCAGGCGTTTAGGGGTTAGGGCTTATAGGGTTTAGTTTTGGGTTTAGGGTTTAGGGTTTAGGGCTTCTAGGCCTTCGTGCTAACGGTTTAGGGTATGGGGCTCATAGGGCTTTTAGGGCGAACGGTTAAGGGTCTAGGGTTCAGAGTTTGGGGTCAAGGGTTTTCCGGGTGTGGGGCTTAGCTTTAGGTTAGTACTTCAGGGCAAAGGTCGGGCTTCAAAGTTTAGGTTTACGTGCCCCTGAACCCCAACACCCAAATTCCGTAGGCTGCCAAGAGAAGAGGGCTGGAGCATCGGGGGGAACCCTAAACCCTAAACCCGGTTGTGCCCCCCTAAACCCCACAACCTAAACCCTAAACCCTAAACCCTAAACCCTAAACCCTGAACCCTAAACCCTAAACCCTAAACTTAAACCAACCCTAAACCGCACCAGGAAGCGAAGGCCTGCACCCTGTCGCCTGTCCAGCCCTTCGAAAAAACGGGTACACCTTTTGGTCCAAATGGGGCCTGATAAGCGAACCTAAGCCCACTTCAGGGTACTTCTAACCCTACTGATAAGTACCCATGAACCTCCAAGTATCTAGACCCAAGAGTAACCCAGGAATAGAAAGGGGTACCCTTTTTGGTTTAAAGGGGCTTCCTAGGTATTGTGAGAAGGGCATGCTGAAGAATGGTCCCCAAGTCCAAGGCTAAAGAGTTCCCCAGGTAAGTGTGCCTAAATAACACCCCAAGCCCACCACAAAAACCAACCCACTAGTCCTGATAAACGAAGCAACCCACCCCGCCCCCCGCCCCAAACCCAAATCCCAAACCCCAAACCCTAAACCCTGAACCCCCCCCCCCCTCCAACAAAAAACACACACAAAACACTCAAACCCCTAAGCGAAAAGAACAAAAGCTGGCCGGGGGCGTCGCCTTGGGCGCCGCCTTGATCTCGTCCGGGGTGCGGGGGTTCTTCGTGTAGCGAAGCCTCGGCTTCATCTGAAACGTTAGGTTTGCTTTCTGTTTATCCTCTGTTTTCGTTTTGTTGTGTGTGTGTGTGTGTTTTAATTCTTCTTTTTGTTTTGTTTTCTTTTTTTTTTTTTTAGGGGGGGGGGGGAGGAGGTGGGTTTAGGGTCATTTTCGGGTTTAGAGTTTAGAGTCTAGGGTTCAGGGTTCTGGGTTCAGGGCTTAGGGCACCCCAACCCTGGACCCCCCGAACCCTCCCGTGCTTCAAGCCAAGGAGGCTCCGGATCATCGGAGAAGCCGTTCTTGATGAACTTCTTGCCTTTTTGGGTTTGGGGTTTCGGGGTTTCGGGGTTTAAGGTTTAGGGTTTAGGGTTTTAGGGTTTAGGGTTTAGGGTTTAGGGTTTAGGGCTTGCTGGGAGAAAGCTTTGGGAGCAGGACTGACATCGGAGGGTGCTCGGGTCGCAAAGGCCCCAGGGTGGCAGTGGGACCGGTCCTTTAAGTCCTTGAGGGGTAAAAGGACTCAAGGGTTTGCGGCTTTGGGTCTTAGGTCGTAGGGTTTTGGGGGGGTTTAGGGTTTAGGGTTTTGGGTTTAGGGTTTCGGGTTTGGGGGTATAGGGTTTGGGGTTTGGGGGGTTTGGGTGTGCCTTTGGCTCCCGAGAGGCTCCCCAAAAGGGTCTGCGGCTTAGGGGGCTGGGGTCTTGGGGCTTTGGGGTTTCGTGGTTTCGGGGTTTGGGGTTTTGGGGTTTTGGGGTTTTGGGGTTTTGGGGTTTTGGGGTTTTGGGGTTTTGGGGTTTTGGGGTTGTGGGGTTGTGGGGTTGTGGGGTTGTGGGGTTGTGGGGTTTTGGGGTTTTGGGGTTTTGGGGTTTTGGGGTTTTGGGGTTTTGGGGTTTTGGGTTTTGGGGTTTTGGGGTTTTGGGGTTTTGGGGTTTTGGGGTTGTGGGGTTTTGGGGTTTTGGGGTTTTGGGGTTTTGGGGTTGTGGGGTTTTGGGGTTTTGGGGTTTTGGGGTTTTGGGGTTTTGGGGTTTTGGGGTTTTGGGGTTTTGGGGTTTTGGGGTTTTGGGGTTTTGGGGTTTTGGGACAAACCCTAACCCTAAACCCTAAACCCTCAAGATCCTAAACCCCTTAGAAACCCTCTGAGCCAGGGCGCAGTTGTCCCAGGCGCCGCCCGAGTTGGACATGGAGATGGCCAGCTGCACCGATGAGCCCAGGGAGCCCGTGAGGAGCCCGAAGACTGCCTGTTTTGGGTTTCTTTTGGGTGTTTAGGGTTTAGGGTTTCGGGTTTAGGGCTTAGGGTCTAGAGGGGTGGGGCTCGGGGGGGGGGGGGGGGTGCCGGGGGGGTGGGTGGGGGCTGGGGGGGGGGGGGGCTGGGGGGCGGGGTGTGGGGGGGGCCGGGGGGGGGGAGGGGTCTTTTCGGGTAGGGCTTAGGGTGTTGGGGTTTATGGTTTCGGGTTTAGGGTTGAGGGCTAGCCCTAAACCCTAAAGCGCCGAAAGCCTTGGAAACATAAAATTAAAACGCAAAAACCTTGAACACGTCGTCCCGCAAGGCCATCAACCCTAAACCCCAAAGCATCCTAAGCCCTACCCCCAAACCATCCTAAACCCGAAACCCTACACCCTAAACCCTAAACCCTAAACTCGAAACCCGAAACACCAAACCATCCAAAAACCTAAACCCCGAACGAATCCTAAACCCCTGAACCCCTAAACCCCGAATCCTAAACCCGAAACCCCAACCATCCCAAACCCGAAAAAAACATCCCAAGTCCTCATCCCCCGAAACCCTAAGCCCCAAACCCCAAACCATAAACCCGAAAGATCTCGTCCCGACCTGCACACCGAAGAAAGTTCCCGCCAGCAAGGGGGAGAGGATCCTTTCCAGGTTCAAGCTCTTTAGGAGGGTTTTAGGTGCTTGGGGTTTAGGGTTGAGGGATTGGGGTCGGCTACAGGCTTTGAGGGTTTCTTGGCATCTTTGAGGGGGTTTTCAGGCCTTGAAGTTTAGGTACTGGACGAGATGGGTTCCTATTATTCGTTGTCGACTCTATTTGACCATTCTTCTCGAGAATGTGTTCCTGTTCCTCACTGAGACCAGCACATGATTAAGCGTATCGAGTTGTAAGCCTGTGTGGATGATTGGAGTTTTTGGAAATTTGTTTGTGATGATTTATTGGGGGGGAGGGGTGGGGGCCCCTGAGGGTGGGAGTTGCGGGGCGGGGGGCCTCACTTGAGCCCTCTAGACCCCAAGCCGTCCCGGGCCACGAAACACAGCCTTCAACCCTAAACCCTAAACCCTGAACCCTAAACCCTGAACCCTAAACTCTAAACCCTAACCGGGATTCAGCACCAGTGGGGGGCATGCACAAGAGCCAAAGGCCGAGCCGAGCGGCACTAGGCAGGCAGGAGCCACCATCTCGTACAGCGAGGCCTCGGGTTTAGGGTTTGGGGTTTAGAGTTTGAGGTTTAGGGTTTGGGGTTTAAGGTTTAGGCTTTAGGGTTCAGGGTTTGGGGTTTAGGGTTCAGGGTTTGGGGTTTCGGATTTGGGGTTTGGGGTTTCGGGTTCAGGGTTTCAATGCGACTCCAAACCCCTGAGCCCTGCACCCCAATACACGTACGTGCACGCCCTGATTCAGAGACGACTTGGTTCTGCAGCACTGCACGTGTGGTATTTAAGGGTTTGCCACTCTGTTCAGGAGTTTCGGGCGTCACTTGCTAAACCCTACACCCCAAACCCGAGCCCTAAACCCCAAACACGTTAAACCCTAAAACCAAAGCCACGCAATTTCCACAGGCTTAGGCTTGGCGTGAGCTCTCAACGGGCCACCCCCTCAAGCCTAAACAGGGGACCAGACCCCTCAACCCCAAACCTTAAACCATTCTGGCTTAGGAAGCCCCGCAAGTCCCCGAAGAAGACCCTGTGCAATTGTTTGAAAGCTGGAAAGTTGTGCGCGTTGGGCACGTTTGCAGTTTGGTTGGTTTGGTGAGTCTGGGTGTGGGGCTGACTAAACCCCTAAACCTGAACCCCTAAACCCTAACCCCAAAACCCCCCCCCCCCCTCAAAACCCGAAAAACCTGAACCCAAAACTCAAAACCCAAAACCCAAAACCCTAAACCCTAAACCCTAAACACCCACAAGCTTACCTCACCAAATCTCGGGGCCTCCGTCGAGATGTGGATGCAGGTGAGCGAGTCGGGCTTCAGCCTGGGGAAGGTCATGGATCTGGCGGATTTTAGGGCAAGTTTAGGGGCTTTAGGGTTTAGGGTTTAGGGTTTTGGGTTTTGGGTTTAGGGTTTAGGGTTTAGGGTTTAGGGTTTAGGGTTTAGGGTTTGCTGGGATTCAGATCAGGGATCCTGCAAACCTCAAACCCACAACCCGAACCCCTAAACTGAAAATAGGTACCCCAGTATGGGGTGTTAGGGTATACGTTGAGGGAGGAAGGATGAGAGTTGATGGGCGGTAGGCCTCCTCACGCATCACCCAAGACCTACAAGAGCCCCAAACCCTAATCCCGAAACCCTAAACACTAAACCCCTAAACCCCTGAAACCCCAAAACCCCTGAAACCCTGAACCCCTGAAACCCCTAAGCCCCTGAAACCCCTAGACCCCAAACCCCGCAATCCCTGCTTGACGCTGGAGGCGCTCATCGCTGCCGTCGAGGAGGGTCTTTCCCTTGGAGTCCTTCACGCTGAACTGCCTGGAGACAAGGGGGGGGGAGATTTAGGGCGTTGAAGGATTCAGGGCGTTTAGGGTTTCGGTTTTGGGGTTGAGGGTTTAGGATGTGTGGGGTTTGGGGTTTAGGGTTTAGGGTTTAGGGCTTGGGGCTTGGGGTTTGGGGTTTGGGGTTTGGGGTTTGGGGTTTGGGGTTTGGGGTTTGGGGTTTGGGGTTTGGGGTTTGGGGTTTGGGGTGTGGGGTTTGGGGTTTGGGGTTTGGGGTTTGGGGTTTGGGGTGTGGGGTTTGGGGTTTGGGGTTTGGGGTTTGGGGTTTGGGGTTTGGGGTTTGGGGTTTGGGGTTTGGGGTTTGGGGTTTGGGGTTTGGGGTTTGGGGCCTATGGCTTATTCGAGTCCCACACTACCTCGTAGAACCAACCTCTTGGTACCCTTTTTCGGGTGTTTCCTGGAAGAAGGATCGTATCGTACTTCACAGTATCTTCAGGGGCCTAAACCCCAAACCCCGGACCCTAAACCCTAGCCCTAAACCCTAAACCCTAAACCCCAAACCCTAAACCCCAAACCCCACACCCTAGTTGGGGGACGATATCCGCTCATTGCTGCAACGATGACCCTCTTCGAGGGAGAGGCTTTGAAGGCGTAGGACGTGCACGGCGCAACCGCACCTCACACTTCATCATCCTACCCTAAAACGCTGAACCCTAAACCCCAAAACTCCCAAAACCTAAACCCTAAACCCTAAACCCTAAACCCCAAACCCTCAACCGAAGTCCTTCAACACCCCAGAGCTTGCAACGGAACTCGGGAAATCTCGGCCTCTTCACCTCGGCGACCATCTCGCCCGCCGCCTGAGGAGGGTCTACAGCACGCCTTCTTTTGGGTTTAGGGTTTAGGGTTTAGGGTTTAGGGTTTAGGGTTTAGGGTTTAGGGTTTAGGGTTTAGGGTTTAGGGCTTAGGGCTTAGGGTTTAGGGTTTAGGGTTTAGGGTTTCGGGTTTCGGGTTTAGGGAGGGTGCGTTCGGCCTTCAGGTTCAGAGGTTAGGGTTCACAGGGGCTTCGGTTTCCCGGTGCAGGGTTCACAGGGGCTTCGGTTTCCGGGGAGCACAACATACATATCTTGAGTGGCAACGCAAAGGAAATGTAGTTGTGGGTCCATGCCTTATGGTGTTTCGAAGTGAGGCGAATAATGAGGTTACTTTTGGGGGGTCACTTCCTGGCCAGGTGCCTTGCCGACGGACTTCATGGTCAGCGCGGCGAACCAGTAGGGGACCATGCAGCCGATGATGAGGAAGGCAAAGGTGACGGGCTCCAGGATGTTGACGCCCGTCTTCACACGGAGGCGCACGACGAAGGCGCCGTAGAGGGCCAGGGACACGAGGGCGGCGGAGCCGATGGCGAAGCCCTTGCCGATGGCGGCTGTGGTGTTGCCGGCGGCGTCCAGGGCGTCTGTGCGGCGGCGCACCTCGGGGCCGAAGAGCGCCATCTCCGCGATGCCGCCGGCGTTGTCCGAGATGGGGCCGAAGCCGTCGATGGTCAGGCCGCAGGCAAGCGTGGCGAGCATGCCCAGGGCGGCCAAGGCGATGCCGTAGAGGTCGCAGAGCTGGAAGGACACGTAGATGGCCGAGGACAGCACGAAGACGGGGACGATGCAGCTCTTGTAGCCCAGGGCCAGGCCTTGGATGATGTTCACAGCCGTGCCGAACTTGCAGGCACTGGCCAGCTCGCGCGTGGGCACATAGGTGTGGGAGGTGAAGTACTCCGTGACCAAGCCAATGATGAGGCCACCCACACAGCCCATGGTGGCGCAGATGAAGCACTTGAAGGGGCTGCCAGTGATCTTGGCCGGGTGGCCGTCCTCCGTCAGGCGCACACCCTCCAAGCGGAACTCTGCCGGGAGCAGGACGACGGCCATGTAGTAGATGACGGGGAGCATCAGGACTGCGGTGAGCACCATCTGCACCTTCAGCACACGCTCGATGTCCGGCTCATCCTTGACGGGCGAGATGTTGGTGGCCACGAAGCCACAGAGAATGCAGATCACGATTCCGGCAGCCGAGATGGCCAGAGGGAAGAGCATGGCATCCCATCCGGCCTCTGCCAGCGTGTTGTGCGAGCCCTCCACCGCTGCCGCAGCGATGACCAGCGCGGCACAGGTACTCTCCGCGAAGGAGCCGAAGAGGTCGGCGCCCATGCCGGCAATGTCGCCCACGTTGTCGCCCACGTTGTCGGCGATGGTGGCGGGGTTGTTGGGATCGTCCTCATCGAGGCCCGCAACGACCTTGCCCACCAGGTCCGCACCGACGTCGGCGGCCTTGGTGTAGATGCCGCCGCCGACGCGGCCGAACATCGCCACGGTGCTGCCACCCAGGCCATAGCCCGCCGCGCAGTCGAACAAAATCTCCCAGTCGTCGGCGTCCGGGTAGACGGTGCGGTAGAAGCTCAGCAGCACCCACAGCACAAACACACCCAGGGAGCACAGCGCGTAGCCCATCACGCTGCCGCCACGGAAGGCGGTGTTGAAGCCCAGGGTGTAGCCTGAAGGTTCTTTTGGTTTCTAAAATAACTGCTGGAAAAACCCTCAGCCCTTAACCCTAAACCCCAAGCCCTAAACCTTTACGGCAGGCAAGGAGTCGGAAAACAGGAACAACATGAAACCAAACAATTTCTTCGAGCCGCCATGATGAGCACAGGCCAGGGTGGTGCGGGCGTTGGAGAAGGTGGCGATCATCATGCCAAGGAAACCACAGAGCATGGAGGTGAATGCACCTCTTTGGGATTTGGATTCTTAGAGTTCAGGAGGTCTCTCAAGGAGTACCTCTAAACCTCTAAACCCCCAAACCCCTAGATCCCTAAACCCCGAAACCCCTAAACCCCGAAACCCCTAAACCCCTAAACCCCTAAACCCTAAACCCCTAAACCCCTAAACCCCTCAACCCCTAAACCCCTACACCCCTACACCCCTAAACCCCGAAACCCCTAAACCCCTTAAACCCTAAACGCTTATGAGTTACAAGTGGAGGCGTTCTGGACTGGTAAGTAGTGCTTATTTGGGGTTTAGGGCTTCTAGGGCTTGGGAGTCCGCACAGCCTGTCAAGAAGGCGCCCGCCGTCAGCTGACCCTGGAGGCTGCTCTTGGTGCCCCAGGACCTGGGCTTTCGGGGGTTAGGGTTTAGGATTTAGGGTTTAGGGTTTAGGGTTTAGGGTTCAGGGTGTAGGGGCTAGGGGCTTAGGATTTAGGGTTTAGGGTTTAGGGGCCCAGGGCTTAGGTGTAGGGTTTAGAGTTTCTGGAGTTTATTGGCCTAGGGGTGCAATATAGGGCCTGAATAATTAAAATGGGGTTTCAGGGGTTATTGTTGTATACCTCCCCTAACCCCCCCAAACCCCCCTCAAAGCCTCCCTAAGACTCCTAAACCCTAAACCCCGCTAAAGCCCAACAACACCCCCTAAAGCCCCCTTAACCCCCCTAAACCCAAAGCCTAAACCCTACACCCTAAACTCTAAACCCTATAATGTTGGACCCGCTTTAGTATTGGCCCCCTCTTTAAAGACAACTTGGCTGAATTATTCAGGACACCCTGACTGTTTGGGAGTCCCTCTTTAAAGACAAATCGTCCGGGCGCCATAAGAAAATTCCACGTGGCGCGCCTTTAAAAAAGATTGCCGGGCCCTGTTAAACTTATCTAAACTCCCTATTAAAATCATATAAACCCCCGGGGCCGTCTAAACAGAGCAAAATCCAGCCTCGACTGTTCAGGCCCACACTAAAGAGGGTTCAACATTAAACCCTAAACCCTAAACCCTACACCCTAACCCTAAACCCTAAACCCTAAACCCTAAACCCTAGACCCTAAACCCCAAAACCGAACGTTCCAAAACCCAGGCTGGGCTGCACGAGCGCGTAGATCAAAATCGAGAAGGCGAGGCAGAAGCCCGTGCAGATGGCATACTCCACCTTCCAGCCCCGTCACGGCTAGGGATTTAGGAGGGTTTAGGGGCTAAGGGGTTAAGGGGTTGAGGGGGCTAAGGGGTTAAGGGGTTGAGGGGGTTAAGGGGTGAAGGGGTTAAGGGGTTAAGGGGATAAGGGGTGAAGGGGTGAAGGGGTGAAGGGGTGACGGGGTGAAGGGGTGAAGGGGTGAAGGGGTGAAGGGGTGAAGGGGTGAAGGGGTGAAGGGGTGAAGGGGTGAAGGGGTGAAGGGGTGAAGGGGTGAAGGGGTGAAGGGGTTAAGGGTTTACCCTCTTTTGCCCCACCACGGCATTCCTCTCGCAAGCCCAACGCATTTCCCTCGCATTGCCTTGCCGGAGTTCGCCCCTGGTACTTACTGGTTCTAAGTAGAGACTCCGGAATAAATCTACAGGGTTTATTGGCCTACAGGGCTTATCGGCCTCACAGGGTTTTAAGGGCTTAGAGGCCTTATTGGCTTTTATGGGGCCTGATAGGATCTATATAGGCTTTGTAGTAACCCTGAACCCTAAACCCAACATAGGCTTTACACGGCTTTTTGCAGGGCCTTGGAGGGTTTGACCCGAAATTCCCCTACAGCTGAACCCCGCAGCTCTCAGCCCAGGACCCTCAGAAACTGCTTGGCGCCGCTCATAATCCTGTCGCCGCGCCGGCTTGGGGGTTTCGGGGTTTGGGGTTTTGGGGTTTTGGGGGTTCGGGGTTTCGGGGTTTGGGGTTTTGGGGGTTCGGGGTTTCGGGGTTTGGGGGTTTAGGGGTTTAGGGGGATAGGGGTTTTGGGGTTTAGGGGTTTAAGGGTTTAGGGGTTTAGGGGTTTAGGGGTTTAGGGGTTTAGGGGTTTAGGGGTTTAGGGGTTTAGGGGTGTAGGGGTTTAGGGGTTTAGGGGTTTAGGGGTTTAGGGGTTTAGGGGTTTAGGGGTTTAGGGGTTTAGGGGTTTAGGGGTTTAGGGGTGTAGGGGTGTAGGGGTTGAGGGGTTTAGGGGTTTAGGGGTTTAGGGGTTTAGGGGTTTAGGGGTTGAGGGGTTTAGGGGTTTAGGGGTTTAGGGGTTTAGGGGTGTAGGGGTCTAGGGGTCTAGGGGTCTAGTGGTTTAGGGGTTTAGGGTTTAGGGGTCTAGGGGTTTAGGGGTTTAGGGTTACGAGCAGGGTTGTATAGCTACACTACATAAGGTAGTCACCAATTATGACCCAAGCTACCGTGCTCATCTCCGCCGCTCTAACTACCCACAATAACACCCCGGCCCTAAACCCTAAACCCTAAACCCTAAACCCTAAACCCTAAACCCTAAACCCCAAAAAGAATCTTTTGGCCCAAGGCTGCGGAATGTCCAGGATTTAGGCATCTGGAGCACCAGCATGCATAGGGCGCAACCCCCTAAACTCTCAACTCTCAGCCCTCTTCTAGACCCCCATAAAGCCTTTAAAACCAGAAAAAGATATTTAAAAAAAATGCATACCCTAAACCCTATAAAGAGGCCGGGAAGAAAAAAAAACAAGACCCCAGGCAGTCTTGTCGTAGATCTCCGGCACCAGCTTCTCCGGCGCATTCTCCTTGGCTGGCTCGGCTTTGTTGCTAGCATTAGTGAAATTCTTGGCGGATTAGGGGTTTACGATATTACGGGGCCCCTAGTATAGAACCCCAAATAGGAGGATCTCCTTATCACAAGGACCCCAGTAAGTACCCCTACCTAGTATCGTAAAGCCTAGACCCTGAACCTTGACCCTAACTCTCAACCCTAAACCCTAAACCCTAAACCAAACCCTGAACCCTGAACCCTGAACCCTGAACCCTGAACCCTGAACCTGAACCCTGAACCCTGAACCCTAACCCCTGAACCCTGAACCCTAAACCCTGAACCCTGAACCCTGAACCCTAACCCCTGAACCCTGAACCCGAAACCCTGAACCCTGAACCCTAAACCCACTTTGCCCAGGTCTCTCCACCGGCCATGAGCCTCTTCTTGAGGTCGGCGGAAGCCTACGCAAGACCCAACCGGGGCACCGGAGAATTGGTGGAGCTCTGCTCTCCATATTGAACCATGTACCTCCAACTACCTATGTTGGGCTTGGATTTGGGGTTTCGGCATTAGGGTTAGGGCAGGGGGCATCACAACTAAACCCGAAACCCTAAACCCTAAACCCTAAACCCTAAACCCTAAACCCTAAACCCTAAACCCTAAACCCTAAACCCTAAACCCTAAACCCTAAACCCTAAACCCTAAACCCTAAACCTTGCCAAGTTGTACCTACTCAGCTCCGAAGATGCTCTGAGCCAGCCTCAGAGTCGTCATCCGGCTGCAGCTTGATCTTCCTCACGTAATGTTACAGGGTTTGAGGGGGTTTAGAGTTTAGGGTTTAGGGTTTAGGGTTTAGGATTTAGGGTTTAGGGTTTAGGGTTTAGGGTTTAGGGTTTAGGGTTTAGGGTTTAGGGTTAGGGTTTAGGGTTTAGGGTCTAGGGTCTAGGGTCTAGGGTTTAGGGTTTAGGGTTTAAGGTTTAGGGTTTAGGTTTAGGGTTTAGGGTTTAGGGTTTAGGGTTTAGGGTTTAGGGTTTAGGGTTTAGGGTTTAGGGTTTAGGGTTTAGGGTTTAGGGTTTAGGGTTTAGGGCGGTTTAGGGTGTAGGGTTGAGGGTTTAGGGCCGCTTAGGGTTTAGGGTTTAGGATTTGAGGGGGTTTGAGGTAGCTTGAGGGGTTCGAAGGGGTTTGAGGGGGTTAAGGGGGGGGGGGGAGGGTTGAGGGGTTTGAGGGGGTTTCCAGTACCGGACTCGGTCGGACTGGCGCCGTGCGATCAATGAGGAGGGGCTTTTGCCTACTGGGGTTTGGAGTTTGGGGTTTGGGATTTGGTGCTACCCCCTGCGCCCCGCCTCCTGTCGTGTGGGTGTAGTTTAGGGTTCAGGGTTTAAGGTTTAAGGTTTAGGGTTTACATAACCCTGAAACCTTCAGTAAGCCTCGCGGAGAGCAGAGTGCCAACCGTGCAGTAGGCGACAGCCATGCACAACTCCAGAAACTCCCAGAGGGGGTAAAGGGAAGCCCTAAACCCTAAACCCTGAACCCTAGACCCTAAACCCTAAACCCCAGGCCGATCATGCCAAGGCTCTTGATGATCAAGAACTGGCAAAGCGCCGCCACGAGTCCTCCGCGTTGCTCTTGGGGTAGCTACGTGGTTGAGGTTTTAGGGTCTAGGGTCTAGGGTCTAGGGTCTAGGGTCTAGGGTCTAGGGTCTAGGGTTTAGGGTTTAGGGTTTAGGGTTTAGGGTTTAGGGTTTAGGGCCGGGGAAGCCCTTATAACCCAAGGGCCCATATCTTAGAACCCAGTGTAAGCAGGAAAGGTAAGAGCTTTTAAGGGTTTAGTGTCCAGGCTTTGGGAGCTTAGGATTTAAGATTTGTTTGGGGTTGAGGTCCATAGGCCCTGTGGAACATTCTGCAGGAGCACACATCAAGTCTGAGAAGCCTTGCATAAAGCTAAATAAAGACAAGGTCTCGTGACTACATTCTCGGAATCACAAGTTACGCCGAAAAAACGGTCCATCTGAACAAACATGTATGTAAATTCATATACGTAGACGCACAACATACTCGCATACATATTGCTTGACTGCAAAACACTCAGACCTACACAGAAACGACCCTGAATCCAAAACCCAATCGGATTGCGGAACTGGCCCATAAGCCCATAAGCCCTAAACCCTAACCCTGAACCCTAAACTCTAAACCCTAAACCCTAAAACCTAAACCCTAAACCCTAACCCTAAAACCTAAACCCTAAACCCTAAAACCCTAAACCCGAAACCCTACCCCTAAACCCTAAACCCTAAACCCTGAACCCTGAACCCTTAACCCTTAACCCTTAAACCCTAAACCCCAAACCCTACGCGCTCCTACCCCGCAGGACGGGACGATGATATAGTCCACAGGATGCATGGTCCTGGCGACGACGCTTGCGCTCTCATTGATATCTGCGGGTGTTGGGGTTTAGGGTTTAGTCTTTAGGGTTTAGGGTTTAGGTTTTAGGGTGTAAGGGGCTTGTTGCACTTGTGAACTTGCAGGGCATGGCCAAGAACAATGCTGCAAAACCCGGCCCGAAACCCCATACCCGGCACCCTGAACCAAGCTGCTTTGGACGGCTCAAGCAATGATGCACCCTGCACAACTACACAACTGTGCCCCACCAAAGCCGCAGGAAGATCTTGCACTGCCCTTGCTTGAAGATGACTTGACGGTTCTCATGGTCTTAGACTTTAGATTTTTGGGGTTTAGGGTTGAGGGTTTAGGGTCTAAGGTTTATTGCTTAGGGTTTGGGGCTGAGGGCTATAAGTACCCCACCTAAACCCTAGACCCTAATTAAACCCTAAACCCTAAACCTAAACCCTAAACCCCTCTCCGAGCAAAGCTGAGTTAAACGCTTTGCCCTGTTGCGCGGCGCCTTGTGGGAGGCGCACGCGAGAAGAGCAAAATCTGCTACCAAGTGGCTGCGGGAGGCTTAAGGTTTCGTCTTTAGGGCTGAGGGTTCAGGGTTTAGGGTTTAGGGTTTAGGGTTTAGGGTTTAGGGTTTAGGGTTAAGGTTTGGTAGTTTAGTGCCAACCCACGCCAGACGAAATACAAACTGACGACTGCCAAGTGACTCCAGACAGCAAGAGCATAGACGCCAGCACCACGGCGGCTGGGCACAACTTGGAGTGGTGACATGGGGGTCTGCAATTTTGAATTTTTCAAGAGCGTCCGTAATTAACCAAATCTCTGCCACTGGATGCAAAGCCACTAAGCCCTATTGTAGGAAATACCTTCAAGTCCGAGTAATTTCCTTTGCAACACACAACACAAACCTACACAACCACATGCATCTGTCTTCTTGTCTATCCATCGGGGCTTCCAAAACCCAACAGGGAAACTGCGGCCCTTTTCTTCGTCTTTCTGTTGCGCTTCACGGGCCCTGAGACATCACGCAGCCGTCCCCTTGCCAGTTGGCACGCGCTAACCCTAAACCCTAAACCCTAAACCCTAAACCCTAAACCCTAAACCCTAAACCCTAAACCCTAAACCCTAAACCCTAAACCCTAAACCCTGACGGAGCTTGATTGAGGGTCTGTCATGATGGCCTTGGGACAGTGATGGGCTTCCTTTATGCTACGCATTGAAACCCTGGCACATGGAACTGTGACCCCGAACTCCAACACCCACAGCCCCAAAACCCTAAACCCCAACACCCCTAAGCCCTAAAGCCCTAAACCCCTCAACCCCCACACCCCCAAACCCCCTATAAACACCATACCTTAAACACCGAACTGCTGATGCTACAAGAAGGGGGCCTTGACAATTGGAATAGTGTTTTGGGGGGCCAACACGGTTTCAGACACTGGGTGCGTAAGGGGAACACTCTTGAAATGATCGTGGGGATCCGAATATGAATTAGGGTTTAAGTAGGGTTTAGGGTTTAGGGTTAGGGTTTAGAGCTTCGAGTTTTAAGGAAGTACCCCCTACTTCCTAAACCGCAACCCTCAACCCTAACCCTAAACCGAGGGTTCGGGGTTTAGGAGTTTAGGTTTGGGACTTTGGGCGAAAGGCCTTCTGGGGGTTAGAACTTTAGGCTTTCCAAAAGTATCTGATCCCCTCTGCGGCAAGGGTCCAACTAAAGTAGGCACGGCAAGCTGTGCATCATACCATCCCGGCTGCCCTAACGCATGTGTTGGCTTTTTTCTGAGTTCTGCATTTTGGAAAAGAGTTTAGGGTTTAGGGTTTAGGGTTGAGGGTTGAGGGTTGAGGGTTGAGGGTTTAGGGTTGAGGGTTGAGGGTTTAGGGTTTAGGGTTTAGGGTTGAGGGTTTAGGGTTGAGGGTTGAGGGTTTAGGGTTTAGGGTTTTGGGTTTAGGGTTTAGGGTTTAGGGTTTAGGGTCCTTTGTTGGGAGGTCCTTGTCATCAGTCGCATTCGCACTTGTATTTGCTTTTGTTGTTGCTGCCGCTGCTCTTGTTGATGAATGCAACCTGTGAGGTGCACCTGGCTTGGGTCAGCCAGGCCGCCTTAACCCCAAACCCTGAACCCTAAACCCTGAACTCTTTTGCTGTTACACCTTTGTGGGAGCCAGAGAGGCTTGAAGGCCCCTGTTTGGGGCTTAGGGTTTGGGGCTTTGAGTTAAGGGTTCAGGCTTTGGGGTCTAAGGCTCAGGGTTTAAGGGGCACGTAGCTTCTGCCTTATCCCAGCGCAGCCCGGGCCAAGATGGTACACGTCTCCTAGCACAAGCACAAAAAATTCGCCCCACGCGCTGCGTCAGCTCTGGATGCTTTTGAGTGCGTTGTTTAGGGTTTAGGGTTTAGGGTTTATGGTTTAGGGTTTAGGACAACCATAACCTGAATAATCACAACACCTAAGTAGTCTTTGTTCGTACCAGAAAGAATCGGAAACTATAATAGAAGAAACACATTGAAAGGGACAGAAGGCCACAATAACAACTAATGTTCTGATGATAGCTGCAAGGAGAAGAACAAATTCACAACTGCAACCCTTGGTGTGGTCAGCGCGGGTTCATTTCATAAACCATGAAAATAGCTATCAGCCGAGTACTCATACCAAATAACGAGAATAAGAGCTACAACAGACACGAATCATAGCAAACAACAGAAGAGACACAAGAATGAAGCAAACACCAATACTAGTATTGGCATAAATCCCCAAGAAGAAATTCACAACTGTAGCCTTAGCTTGGCTAGCGCAGGTTCCTTTCGCTAGACAAAAACTTTGCCAAAGCTACTTCATACTAAGCAAGCTGCGAAACACTAGGCCCAGGAGGAACCTGGGAATGTAAAGGGTACCCTTTTTGGTCTAAAGGGGCTGATCAGGGAACCCTAAACCCTAAACCCTAAACCCTAAACCCTAAACCCTAAATCCTAAATCCTAAACCCTAAACCCTCAACTAAAAAAAGGAAATCAGGGCGTATGTGGGTCCACTCTCAAGAGCCTCGAACGATAGAGAAAGTCGAGAAAGCTGCAGGAAAATACTTGGGTTTAGGGTTTAGGGTCTAGGGTCTAGGGTTTAGGGTGTCGGGTTTAGGTCTTAGGGTTTGGGGTTTAGGGTTCAGGGTTTAGGGTTTAGGGTTGAGGGTGCTGTTCGCTAGCGCGGGCAGCAGATCCTTGTTGGATCCAGGGTGACCTGCAAACCACGATAACAACCACTTACTTCTCCAATGACCAAGGGGAAAAATGTTAAACTTTATTGTTCCTGCTAAATAAGGAAACCCAAAAGTTTAAAGTTCAACTATTGGCTAAGTAAGGACAGCAACCAAAGAAACCAACTGGCGGCTGATAGTCAACTAGGGTTCAGGGTTTAGGGTTTAGCGTTCAGGGTTTAGGTTATAGGGTTTAGGGTTGAGGGTTGAGGGTTGAGGGTTGAGGGTTGAGGGTTGAGGGTTGAGGGTTGAGGGTTTAAAACCTAAACCTGAGCTCCCGGATTAATGGCGGGTGCTTCGTTGCAACGGGCAGTTGTTGCGCAACTCGGGGAAAAAGGGGCGCCCAGGACATTCTACGGTTTAGGGTGACTGCCCTCCAGCTTCGAGATCTGAATCGACTCTGTGCCAAAGCCCGAAGTTCTAATCTGAGAGCGTGTGACTGAAGGAATGTCCCTGAACTTCTACAAAACCCTAATTTAGGGTTTAGGAGGGTTTAGGGTTTAGCGTTTCGGGTACCCTAAACCCTAAACTGCAGAACCTGTTACTTCAGAACCAATTTCATCGAAGAAATGTCTCAACCGACACATCAAGGCCAACTGCCTTGTTCTGTCGGGCCGAAAGCCGGGCTGCTGTTGCGGGAAGCGTCCCTAAATCCTAAGCCCTAAGCGCTAAACCCTAAACCCTAGGGTTTAGGGTCTAGGAGTTAGGGTTTAGGGCTTGGGGTTTAGGGTGTAGGGTATCTCAAATAGGGGCACGTTTAGGGTTTAGAGATACAATTAGGGGTTTTAGGGGCTGGGGGTTTGGGAGTTGAGGGGGTTAGGGATTATCCTTGAGGGTAGGGCTTGTCTTGACCTAGGTTGGATCGGTTTGGCTTCGGAAGGAAACCTTGCAGGACCAGAGCATGCACCCAGCGACAGCAACCCTAAACCCTGAACCCTAAACCCGACTCCCTCGAGCTATGGCCCAGTTCTCCACAATATGGCCCTTTCTTGGCAGTCCAAGTAAGCTGGAGAGACCCATACTGTAGCGCAACCCGCATATCGAAGCATAGGGTTAGGGTGTTTAGGGTTTAGGGTTTGGGGCTTAGGGCTTAGGATTGAGGGTTTAGGGTTTGGGGTTTGGGGTTTAGGGTTTAGGGTTTAGGGTTTAGGATTCAGGGTGCTCGGCGCTTAGGATTTGGGGGTGAGCAGCAAATTTCCCAAGAGTGATCTTTCCCGAATAGCAAGCCCAGGTGTGTCTCTCACGAACGGCATGGCGTCAGGCCTGCCGCACGCTGCAGTCAGGTACTTGAGGGCGCTTTGTAGGTCAATTCTTGAAAGCACTGTGAACAAAGTTAGAGTCAGTCATCAACCCTAATTTTGCTAGAACTAACTCCTTGTGAACCCCCAAGTAGGCACCCTAAACGATAAACTCCAGCACCCTAAACGCTAAAACCCTACACTTCCTTAGCTACTTGAAAGAGGCTCACGTGTGGTTGTATGTAGCCCGAACAACGCTCTAAATAGGAGACCTCTGAGATGGTCTGCTCACAACCCAACACCCTCAAGCAAACACCCTCAAGGCCAACACCCAAGCCCAAAGCCTCAAACCCTAACCTTTCAACATGAAACTCAAGCGTAAAGGTAGCGGCAGGTTGCGCAAGCCCCCCTCCACCGCGTCAACTAGCGGCAGTCTGCCGATGCCCGCAAACACCAGCACTTCCTCCACGTGCTGCGGCGGCCCATGCAGATCATGCCGTCCCCTGGGCTGCTGCAGGTGCGGCCAA